AGATAGTATTACAATTTTTTGCCATACAATGGATATCAGATGTTTCCTACCCAATATGTTCTTATGCAATTTCCTATAAAATTTTCTTGGTGTATTTTTAACATTAGATTAATGGAAGCGGTATTGACAAAACAGTACTGTATAAAAATAAATGAAAGCAAAACAAAAATACTGGTATGCAAGGGAAGAAAAAGTAGGGAAAGAGAGAATAAACAGAAGAAGAAGTGGCTGATTTTAGGTATCTAGAAAGTCAGATAAGTCAGGACTAGTCACTTCTATGTACGCGAACGGTTAATTTAGAAATTCGAAAAAGATTGCTACAGGTGTGTTTGGAACGCGGCGCTGTAGGGGTGCGAAACATGGACGATGATGGCGACGGAAAAGAAAAGGTTAAGAAGCGTTCGAAATGTGGTGTTACAGGCGAATGATGAGGATACCGCGGATAGAGAAGATGAAAAATGAAGAGATATTTGAAAGAATAGAAGAACAGAGGAATGTATGGAAGTCAATAAGAAATAGTGAAAGAGATAAGTTGGTAGGACACCTTCTCAGGCACGAAGGTCTAGTCAGAGATATATTAGAGGCATAAACGGGAGTTAGGAGAAGTAGAGGTAGACCTAGATTAGATTACTGTTCGCAAATAGTTAAGGGTGTGAGTTGTTCTAGTTTTAGGGATATGCGAAGATTAGCTCTGGATAGGAAAGAGTAGAGGTGCGTGCCCAACCAGTTTTAGGGCGACCTTACGATGATGTTGATTTTTAACATTCAATTTAGAAGCGTTCGGAATTTAGTGTTACAGGCGAATGATGAGAATACCACCATGGATAGAGGAGGTTAGAAATGAGCAGGTATTAGAAATAGCAGGACTACAAATGTCAATAAGAAATAGGCGAGATGGGTTGGTAGGACACCTCCTCAGGCATGAAGGGATAGTTAGAGACATACTGAAAGCAGAAACAGGAGTTAAGAGTGCTAGAGATAGACTTAAATTAGATTGCTGTTAATGATGTGGGATGTTCTAGTTTTAGGGAAATTAACTCAGAACTGTATAATTGAAATATACTAATGTATGAAAACTGGAAAGATGACAAATACATATAGGACTACACTAACTTGAGATATAACCTATAATATGAAAGTAGATTTCTTATCATCCCATAATTTTTCTTACAATTAGAATATTTATCGTATTTAACAGGGCGACCCTTTTGATATAAAATATCGAATAATAAAAAAGATTCATTAAANTATTAAAAATTAATAAAGAATTAACTAATAAAATATCAAAATTTGGCATTTTAACCCGTTTTAATGTAGGAATTACGGCAAGGTAGACAAACGCGACGTTCTTTCAATCAAAGGATTCTTGAGTATAATAATAAGAAAAGATTCAGGCAAGAAAAACAGACTCCAAATTTTCATCAAGTCTTTCATATTTTTTTCAAATAAAAAAGAGATATCAAAAACTCACATTTTGCTTTCCGTACTTCTTTCCGTTTTTGTATTTTCAAATGTCACAATTAATGAAGACTCTGTAAAATAATAACAGAATTAGGGTCAATTTTCGGTAACATTAGAAATATTTAAAAAAAAACAGTATTTTTACAAAATGGAGAAAGATAGACATAACACTTAACTAAAGTACAAGTATTAGATTTCCAAAAATTTTCTTTTAGGGATTGTTGGATTTACTCTCTTTAACCAAAATAATTCTATGTATGAGTGAAATCTATGATTTTTAAAAGACACACGTAAGTAGAAAAGGAAAAAAGACAGGTACTTATTGAGTACCTAATTTAGAGAATTAAATGTTCAATATAATTATATGTACATGGTACCCCAATAAAAAAAAACTTTTACGACTTTCAAGTTAGCCTACAAACCCTACAGCTAGCTTTTTAGTAATTTAATACTAGTATATCTCCAATTATTTTGTTTTAAGTCACCCTTTTAACAACAAACAAAATTTTACCAAATATTGCAGTATCGAATATATTTGATTAGTTCTAGAGTTTGGGTACTACGTCCAAGCTGGTGTAGGTACCAATGGGTAGATAAGAATTGAATATCAAATCCGAATATGCAGGTAACAAGTAAAAGCAAATCCAAAGCAAAGAACGAATGTCAAGTTTTAACAGCGACCATGAGTAGGTATCAAATAATTGGTTGCAAATAGGTAGTAGTTAGTCCATAATAACACCTAACGCCGCGTATCGCTGATTACACTTGTAGGTACGTATGTGTATATAGGAATACCCACGACATCCGCGCGCGTTCTTCGCGATGCATTCTACACCGAACTGTTACATTTCAGAAGTACCACATCTCAAGTCGAGACAGCTTCTGTGTAGGTACCTACTTATGCAACGGAACGATGGTATGATCTCTTGGTGGGAAAACGCCACCGTGAAGCAGAGAAAGGAGAATTTCCCTGACGAAAACACGAACATGCATATATTACCATGCGATCGGCACATTACAAATGCATTCCACAACCAGGCTCGTCAGTAACAACAACAAGGGCATTTAAAATCATGAAAATTGCAACAATATGAGCCAGAGGGAACAAAAAACCGTAACTCCCATGATATGGTTAACACCCATCCGTCAACAATACTTATTATGAAATCTTATTAGAAATATTGGCTAAATGTAACAAATAGTACTCGAAGGCATACTCCCACAGAGTTCATAGAAACTCGTAAAATATTTCAACTTCAAGCTTATGGTACAAACCATTGATCTTGTCTTAATATAAAAAGTGTTGTCAACCTTTAGTTTCACCCTTGCAGGTGTGTGAACGAGGCAAACATTACTAGAAGACAAAATCAAATTGTGTCGAAGCCTCCTCCAAGCGTCCATATTCAGAAAATTAATGTTACTGTAGCTTGCAATTTTTATTGCAAATGTTGACAGAAATAATTAGTCAAATGTTGTTCTTAAATCACCATTTTTAAGAACTGTCACATCCCTCTCCTGAAACTCATGAAGCTCGATGCGTCCTACCCCAAAATATATTGATCTATCATTTTACTCCACTTTTAATCAATAAATGTTTCGTGTCATGTATTTATTATCGCCCACTGTCCAGCTATATTTTAATAATAGCTCAATTGTCATTTATAAATGCGTATAATAATAGAAAAAAATTACGTCCAGTCTCAATTCCTACCCATATACCCACTGCCATCTGCAAACGACGCATATGTCAGAGATCACAAATGTCGGTAATTTAAACTTAACTCCCACCTATTGAAAAACAATTTGCATGTTGAACAGCTTGATTGCGTGTATGCGAAAGTGCAAATCAATATTTAGAATGAATATTCAATTATGGATCGCGAAAGCTGTGGGTACGGATACCTATACACCGATACAATACAATATATCTCGTAGGTATTAGATGAAGAGGGTCCGGTTGTGTCTGACGATCCATAGGCACCTCTGTATTCTGCCATCGGCCGATGTTTAGACACCACTCCTCGTCCGTAATAGCGAGTCGAGCGAGTGCGACAATGCGACACTGCACCGAACAATGCAACGTATAGTTATGCTAATATGTACCGGGACCGCCCCTCATTGTTGAATGGAATCTTATTCATGCGCTCCATTGTCCTGGATGCTATTAAATACCATTAAACGCGAATATAGCGACCACGCCATCTGTAGTGGATAACGGTAACAATGCGCCAGCGATGGAAGACCATCTATTGACGAGCCCGATCGTTATAATGTTACCATAACGTTGCTTTCACATAAAAAGAACATCATGGCTTCGGTTTTGATCGTATCGAATCATCATCATTATCATAAGGTCGTCAGTCCTAAGACTGGTTGGACACGCACCTCCACTCGTTCCTGTCCTGAGCTATCTTCGCATTTACCTAAAACTAGAACATCTCACATACTTAACTATTTGCGAACAGTAATCTAATCTAGATCTACCTCTACTCCTCTTAACGACTGTTTCTGCCTCTAATACGTCTCTGACTAAACCTTCATGTCTGAGGAGGTGTCCCACCAACCTATCTCGCCTATTTCTTATTGACTTCCATGGAGTCCTCTGTTCTCCTATTCTTTCCAATACCTCTTCATTTCTAACCTTTTCTACCCACGATATCCTCATCATCCGCCTATAACACCACATTTCGAACGTTTCTAACCTTTTCTTTTTCGCCGCGCCCACCGTCTATGTTTCGCAGCCGTACAACTCCGCGCTCCAAACATACACCTTTAACAATCTTTTTCGAATTTCTAAATTAATCGTTCGCGAGCATACAAGTGACTTCATTTTATTGAAGGCGACTCAATCCTGCGCTATCCTCTGCTTTATATCCCTACTAGTCGTTCCGTCGTGACTTATCTGGCTTCCTAGATACCTAAAATCAGCCACTTCTTCTAATCTTTCATCTCTCATCTTTACATTCGCTCTTCTTCTGCTTTTTTCCTTTGCATACCAGTATTTTTGTTTAAGGGTATCTCTAACTCCTCCTTGCTAGATGTTAATATTGCCATATCATCTGCAAATCTAAGCATACTATTTTTTTGTCCCCACATATATATCCCTATCGTTTTTACAATACTGTCTTTAATATTGATCGCGTCTTCGATCTATAGATGTCGTTTTCTCTATTTTGTGATTGTATTTTTGTCACCAGTTGCGAATAAATTTAAATTATCTATTGATTACATTTTGTTTCTTGCTACAGTATACCTAAACGATATGTTTTTCTTTTGCAGTTTCTGCTATGTCCATAGAATCCTGAGGGTGAGGGGTAAGTGTTATTTTGTTTATTACAGTAGATGAGATTTAACCACATACCTAATGGTCAAAATTTTTTGTGTCTTCAAAAGAAAACAATTGCGTTTTTAATAAAAGCAAATCTTTAAGAACGTCTGCAAGGCATGATTTACAACTTAATTCGGTTCTAAAATATTGAGGGAGTTTGGAATGATGCGTAGGTATGGGTATGGGGAAATAAGTCAGTCTCGTTCGGTAGTTCCTCCTATTCATTAGACTAACTGCCTTTTGTAAACAAAACCGCAGAATGTCCGGACAAAGCTATGTTGCTTCCCTTTTATAGGTACCTTGCGATACCGAAGTCCGCTTTTAGATTCTCACACGAACGGCCTCGTGTTACCGATACAAAAATCGATTCGTGATTTTCGTTTGTCATTAATAAAGAACAAGAGAGCATCAAGTCACGGCACAAACCAAATAATGGACGATCTATTGGAACAAACCATCAACATACCGTAGAAACACAAAGGGCCGATAACAGGCCAAGAATGTGTCAAAGGAATGACATTCGTTCTATTACATTATGGTAATATCTCGGTGACTTGCAATCGTCGCTGTCTTTATGCGATCAGTCGGATAACATTTTGAAAAGATCGAAGCAGGCGGTGACCGACCGACACCATTGTTGCTTGCTAACTGTGACGGTCGATCTATATGATAAATAGTCGACGAACGATTTCGCCCCTTTCGGATGTTTCCAAGCCTCCTACAATTTTTATTGTGAGTAGTTCAAATGTTTTCTACGCCTCCTTCGATCTCAACTTCGATTATTTCTTGTGCAATACGATGTAAATATTTACGACCGACAATGGACCAGCTAAACACACTGTTTCATTTAGAAACATTAAAAGAATCAAAAAAGTCTTCGGAAAATCGTTGGCATAATGAAATCCAATACTCAATAATCAGCAACGAATTGTCAATAAGAACACAAAAGACATAAGACCATGGTAATTAGATGTGAAAGTTAATCTTAATATATATAAATTACGTGTCACGTTGTTTGTCCGCGATGGACTCCTAAACTACTTCACCGATTTTAATCAAATTTGTACACCGTGTGCAGTTTGATCCAACCTGAAAGATAGGATAGCTTACACCTCAATTTATGATCGCAATAGTATATAAAGTAAGGGAGTTTGGTCACGGTGGGTGGACGTGGGTGGTTGTGGGTGGCGAAAATGTGAAAAAATACATACCTGTCCTTTTCTAACATATGAGACCTTTTGGAAAGTTCTAAAAATTTCTGAAATGATCCAGAAAACTCCAGAATGTGTTACAATCGATCTAGAATGTTCTAAAAATTTCTGGAATGATCTAGAAAGTTCCAAATTGTGTGCAACGGTTAAAATCGATATGCAATGTTCCAAAAAGTTTTAGAAATATCTGGAATGATTTGGAAAGTTCCAAATGTCCGNAATATTTAATTTCAATATTGGGTTAATATTAAAAATCTACATTGGGCCAATAAAAAAAAACTGACGTTTCCATCATTGAACCAATATGCAAATATAATATTTTACCAATATTGTTGTGCTACTGGAGATCTGGAATGATTTGGAAAGTTCCAATTAATTAATTATCAAAGATTTCCAGAATTTCCTAGATTTTGTCCAAATATTCTACAACGATCTACTATTATTGAGAAATTTTATAAAGGTACAGGGTGGTATCTAAGATAGAAATGTATATTTATATTTTAACCCAATCAACGCCGGGTTTAGCTGCTAGTGGTCTATAAAAATTGCTACAATTGCCATAAAACGAACGACGCACAACACTTGACGGAAACCCGATAGCCACCTGTTGAAACTGAAATTAATTCTGCACGTTGTGATTCAGTCCGCAAAGAATGTGTCTAATCGCCTGATCAAACAGCCGCAATAAATTTGCATATCCCATGCATAATCCACCTTTGTTAGCCATACCTATAGCTTGGCTTTTCAGCCGATCTCCAACGCATTTCCATGGTCCATACATCACCGTGTGCAGACGCCAAAAAAAAACGCATCACCAACTCCGGCCATTAAGCTCAAATAACGTTTATAGCAAACAAGATAATTATTTGGAAATGTGCAAATCATGGTCATCCTAGGATTAGTTATCTATGGGTATCTAAAGTTTACACCTGAGTCGCAGAGTAGTGAGCGGGTCAGATAATTCTACCTTTACACAGTTGAGCGTTGACGCGGTAGCGAGGCCAATCATCACGGCCAAATTATCCCCACTACATGCATGACCAGTAGCAGCACTGCAGGGTGTTCTCAAAACCAGTAGCCAGAATCTAGAGCGCCGTGATACTACATTCGTAACAAATGAAGTATTGCGTATACGGTTGGTCGCGGACGTGGGCCAATAAAAGGCAAGCGCATGCGATGCATCAAATAGGGTTGTGGGCGATGCCCAAAAACGGCTACTCATATACATATGTTGCATCGAAGTAGCCCTGAACTTCTTCAGGCAGACAGGTGATGATCGGACCATTTTTCGTCTCTCGTCGCAAGGATAATGTACCGATGTCCTTCATTCGGGAGCAAGGTTATTAATATTAATTACCTTATAACAGTCAGACTTTTAAATTTTTATGCAGATAGGTAACTTGAATACATTTGTCTTTTGTTTGCCGAAACAGGTTGGACGGTGGTGCTCTTTCTCGGGCTCGTTTGTTCAGTTTCTCAAAGACACCGTCCGTCCATTTGACGTCATTGTTTGTTCCGTTTTTCTAAGCATTAATCTGCTTGAAAAACATAATTTATGATTCATTTGTATCTACAAACACCTGTTTAGTTATAATTGCTTCTATAATGGCGTCAGGCTCCGTCAGCCGATAATGTTAATTAAGGTTATTTTTACAATTCTAATATTTCATATTTCGATTTATAAATACCTTTTCCAGTGTCCGCGGCTACCGATTCACATAGTTCCGATTAATTTAAAATAATTTATTTTGACATCCACTTAATGTTGAATAAAAATTTCTAGTCTGAAATAGAGGTGGAGGTGCCACGTAGAGAAGTAAATTTTAGAAAGGGAGTCAGGCAGGGATGCACACTGTCACCGCTAATTTATATATCGAAGACGCGATTAACACCTTTAAAGACAGTACAACTGTAGGGATAGATATGGAAGGGCAAAGGGTTAGTATGCTTAGATTTGCAGATGCTATAGCAGTATTAGCATATAGCAAGGAGGAGTTAGAGATAGCTTTGAATAAAATGGAAATGGTATTGACAAAACAGTATTGTAGGAAAGTAGTAATCTAGGAAGTCAGATAAGTCAGGATGGATGGAGCAGTACAGATATGAAAAAGAGGATACTGTAGGGTAGAGTTGCCTTTAGCTAAAAGAAGTCATCTCACCGCCCGGCTCCATATGGTTAGGAAACGTAGATGGTAAGCGTGACGGAAAAGAAAAGGTTAGAAGCGTTCGAAATGTGGTGTTATAGGCGGATGATGAGGATAACGTGGGTAGAAAAGGTTAGAAATTAAGAGGTATTAGAAAGAATAAGAGAACAGAGGACTCTATGGAAGTCAATAAGAAACATGCAACATAGGTTGGTAGGACGCTTTCTCATGCGAAACAGAAACAAGAGTAAACGTAGACCTAGATTAGATTAGTGTTCGCAAATGGTTAAGGATATGGACTGTTCTAGTTTTAGAGAAATACGAAGATTAGCTCAGGATAGGAAAGGGTGGAGGTGCGTGTCCAACCAGTCTTAGGACTGACGGCCCTATGATGATGAAGAAATAGCATTGGGGATACCAATCGGTTGCGCAGTAATTGGAACATATAGTGTGAAGCTGAATGAAAAGAATGTCATTCCCAAATAACTTCAGAAATCGTTCAAATCCATCATCGAATAATGCCATTATACTTTTGACACTTTTTGTTCATTATTTCATTTCCTAATACTCTAACGCCAGAGGTATATTTTCTTATATTTTGTAAGGTATTATTAGATAATAAAGCTAGCAATCTGTATTGTAATTATAAAAGAACGTGTGTTGTCTGTTCCCCGAGCTATATTCTAACCCAGTAGGCTTCCAACAGAACCGCCTTATAAATCGCCCCTTTTAAATTTTCCCGTGACAAGCAGCTATCCGATGCCGTTTCAGCCGCCGGGATATTGAATTAATGAGTACTCACCTAGTAAGTTGTTTTCGGAACAAACTAACGCCGAAATTTCAACATATCGGCGAAGGCCCCCCGTGCACACCGGCCAACGTAAATCAGACCGGCCGACACCGTGTTGCCTCGATCCCTAATATATAAAACATTAGCAAGAATTAATAACATAAACGGGGCATTGCCCGAACGCACTCTACCGCATCGACTAGATGGATACCATTGACTTCGGATCGACCGTTCTTCAGTAAGCAACGCGATTAAGTCAGCTTTTGAACAACACGAATTCATCAACAAGTCTATTTTATGGATCAATTGATAAGCCCACAACGCGATACGGAACAATGAAGATACTCACAACGTAATATGAGTTAGTTCACATGCTCGCAAAACGATGCGGATTAACTGAAACTGTGTGGATTATTTAACATAGATATACCATCACCCGATATCGATCAAGTAACCTATCCATTAGGTCATACGACAATGTAGAACATTTGATATTTTACAGATCGGTTGGTATACCATACAACGCAACGTGAAGCATATGACATACCCAGAGCATAGCTGAGACATCCCTAACAGAAAGGTATGATGATCGACCTAAATACTCGCAACGTGATATCTGGATCATTTGACACCACAGTTACGATCTGTACCTATCAAGTGGCGTACCCACCATGTACCTATCTAAGGCAGTTTATGAATGAATTTGTATCTCCACACTCTCCACATAGTAATAAAGGGTCATTTGAAAAACCTGCAAAGTTATTATGATGAACCAATCAAGATGCGCAGTATCCAATACTCAAGAAGTGGTATGCCCACAACGTAATATATATTAATAACAACGTTTGGCATATTTTAGAACGGTTAGGGATCTAGAGAACAGCGCGAATGGTAGGTACTTCAATGTGGTGAACTGTTCACATTGTAGATAAATGTGAGCTACCCTAATGCCAGAGATAATGCTTAATAATCCAAGTGAACGCTTAGTTAGCCACTGCTAAAAGTTCGACGTACATGGACCCTTTAGCCTACCACAATAATGCAAAACCTAGATAGGTTAATCGACATGTCCACAAAGCAATATTGATGACAGGCATCATACTCACAATGTGACATCTACACCTTTACTTCCAAATTTCTTTTATTGTATTAAATTCACATAAGATATAGGGTCCATACTTCACACCGGGTTACTCTTTGATCTGAGTTACTTATCTAGAGTTTCTCTATTGGTTCGTTCACTTTATTTTTGAAAGAATGAGTTCTGGAAAGAATCGGTTAGGTTTTGGTTGAGTGATGTGCCGGTGCAGTTCACATAACCCGTTTTAGGGACTGTTTTTAAGGTGTCCGTCGGACAGTCAACGTTCTGTCGACATAGCCTACTGATCTAAAGGCGCGTATCCATATACCGACGGTAAAACCGCCGCCGTAACGTCAATGGGCGGCAGCTTTTGTTTCCCGCAAAGTGGGCCTTGGCGTTGAACAATGCGGCCAACATAACTAATTGAAAGGTTTTTCCAGAGTAATTTATTTGTTTGTTTTAAATAACAAAAACTAAAAGATACCTTATACCTACCTCTACGGTATTAGGTATAACTTTATTGTCATGGATGTTGGTCGCTTGTAAACTCAATGCTGCAGTATATAGATCTCCAATATTTCAATCGTTGATAACCAAACAAAAAGCCCTAGTACTTCAAAAAGTAACTAACTCTAACTTCCTCCCAGGTTCTAAAACCTGCTTTATTAATAGGTTGCGTTCCAAGTAATTGACATTCAATAACAGTAGCAATTGGAGTTTTCTTTTCTCAAAAGGCTCAACATTACCTGATTGATCAGATTCCTGTTGATTTTGTGTGGCTTGTTCTACAATTAATGAGTATAGAAATTTGAGTATTCACTTTCATTCATCTTTAAAACCTTAACTGAACCTCTCTTTAATAAGGTAAAAGCCCTAGGTACGCCTCAAACTTATTATATAGTTGCCTATCAACTTTAATTTATCGAGGCTCTACTGCAGGCATATCCTAATAACAATAATTACATATTTGGTCTTTACTTGCTTCTGTTTCCTTTAAAAAATGTGAAAGCAAAAGCGTTCTGGATATAAAAAGAATAAAATTCCAGGATATTATTATACTTTCATTAAAAACATGTTCCGAGATATGACATCAAGAAATAGCTCCTAATGTAGCCCGCGGACCCGGACGGTATATACGTTAATGTTGTTAGGAAGCTAGAGAATGTCTTAACAAATTTATATACCGACTCTCGCGCTAATCTACATCCACAATCACCGGACTACCTAACTAAAAAACACATAAAGATAGTGATTAATAGTTGCAAAACGGCTGAAAACTGCCCGGCTCTGCTCTCCATCATACATAATTTCAGTAGGAGATTCCTAAAATAAGAAGAGAACGCGCGGAACGCCAAGCCAACTTTTCAGTTTACGTTTAAAGCCGTCGGTAGCTTTTGTTTTCGGTAAGAATGGACCGCGGTAACTCGATTCTGTCATATTTATGCGTCTACTGTCTTCTATCTACGTTAATATTTCATATTTATGGGCCGTTCTTCGTAAAACACGACGGACTCTCCGGACTGGATTGTTCGGGAGTTAAAGATACTGCCAAACGATAGTGATTTTTAAACAGAGACAGTAACCCTAAAGCTCATAAAAAAAATAAAGCTAAACAAAAAAGATCTCTCAATGATTCACGCATGTAAATATCATGGGAATTTTTCTTTTACTTCCTCACAATTTCTCTATCAAACGCACCTAACCCCCAGGCGCCAGGAAAGACGTTTGATGCATACTTTTGCGTCTGTGACATCATATCTTATCGATAACTATTCGATTTTGGTTTGGTGTACTTTTTTTTGAAATCATACGTTTACGCGAATGTCATTACGTATTCCGAACGAAATTATTGATAAATAATTATTAGATATTTCAGTCATCTCTAAGTACAAAAAAATACATAAATATGATTACGATTGCTAAATGTTATGAGTTTAGAAAATTAAATAAAATGTAAAGTACCTAAAGCAATAAGATTAATTAAACTAAAAAGTAAATAACCTCAACGAAATATAGTTACTAAAAATAATCTAATGCAACAATTTCCCAGTTCTTTGGCAAGCAAGGAATTTCTACTATTTAAATCGTAATAGTTTACAGAAAAAATGTATAGATATGTATGGGTAACAGATACCTATATATTATTAATTTTAAGCAACAACTNTCGACCTTTTTTAAGTAGATAAATGCAATAGAGACCATAGATCTAGCAGATAGATATATCGATAAAAGAAAATAAAAACTAATACCTAGACCATTCTTAACGATTTCCACAATTTCCTTAATAGATATATTAAATCGATCATAATTTTTTATTAATTCCTAGTCCAAGCTTTTCTAAGTACGTATTACTCAAGACAGATCTTATTCTCTAATTATTGCTAATGTAATGTCCATTGTCAAGACAAATTATAATTATCAACTGATATATTTAATGAACAATAATTACCGAATTTGCTTGTTCTTCAATCTGCTAATAAATCATTATGCAAGAAAAATAATTGGCCATAATTATCTTACAAACAAAAGAAATCGGAACTTCGTATCCATTGACATTAAAGATAATCCTTCTCCAAACCATTAACGCAAAAGGAAAATCAACATAACAGTATTTTTGTTTATTCTTCTGAATAATAGATGGATAATAATTAAAATAAGACTCATTTCTCATTCCTAACAAATGAAAATATAACTCTCAACGATTATCATGTTAAACATGGTTGTTTAATAAATATTCATTTTGGAGTTTTTTTTAAATGAAAATCCCACGCCGTAGCATTAAAAAAAGACCGAAAACCGCAAACAGATGTCGCGTAACGCGGTAGCACTTCTTACACTTCCCCCCCTTCCGCTCTTTCTCACTCAGCGGTAGCCTCGGGCTGCGTAAACGAGTAGCGCAGTAGGCGTAGCACAGGAGCTGGCTTGCAGGCCACGTGCGATCTTTACAACATAATTGGACGAATCACGCAGGCAATGAAAAATACGCGAGCATCAACTCATCACATAGCCTACTGCTACAACAGACTATTACTAACTTTTACCATTGGTTTTATAATGCGACAGTAGCCCACTATGATCGAACATGAGAAATGGATTCAGAGTAGCGCAAGTTTGCAATTTAATGCGAGCCGCGAGGTTTATAAACATCGCATTATCGTTTTGTGCAGGCTCCTGAACTAGTTGTTGATAGTTATTTGCTAGTTACACATGCTCCTGCGATAGGATGGTAATTTGTAAGTGTAATTTGATTGGATAAAATGCGACGCTCGGCAAACTTGACCCATTTTACCGATCGACTTCTGTGTTACACTCGAACGAAAGACACTGTGTGGGTAATGAACATGGTACTTATTATTGGCGAATTGATGACGGAAAATTAAAAACAAAAAAAAAACATAAAATGGGAGGCATATATAAATTGTTAAATAAATTGTAGTATTACGGACGAATAAAAAGTTCGTTCACTAACCTGTCAAAGGTTGTTTCGGTACACGAGTGCGTTGAGTGGAGATGACGTCTCGGATGTTTTGAGTATCGACTTCACTTGAGGACTTCCAATGGAAAACTACTCGTTATTTTGCTTCTGTACTAAACTAGAGCTGGTAGCCCAATGATCCAAGCAGTAGTGGCTTGCTCTTGGCTTCTTGGAGCCCCCCCGTGCCCCCGCCCGTGGAGCTTGCAAGTCCATCCCACCTCTCACCCCGTCTTAGGAAGTCTAAACATACGGATTATTTTGCTGGTTTGCCATACAACAGAAGTCACTGGCGCGGCCGGTGAAAATCGACCTTACGGACCAACTGCACAAGGCTTTTTAGGCCCAATCAATTAGCTACGTTCTCATCTGCAATAGCTTCATCTAAGAAGACGCGTATTGTTTATTATTATTGTTGTTTTTTTTTTTTGTTGTTAATCTCACTCACGCTTTAACGCAAAAGTTCAGTACATGCGTACGGTGGTGACCACGTGATGTTTTTGGAAAACGATCCATCATCGAATAAGTGCGTCCCGGGGGCAAGTTGAATGTAAGAACAAGCCCCCTGACGTTCTCGCACAGAAGCGGACAAAAATTTCGTAATTAAAAGGCCGGGGAATGTTTTAAACATTCCAGAGAGAAGAACAGAAGACGAGAACGGTCCGCGCACGCCGCTTGGTCTCTATCGTCTCGTTGTGTACGGATCCAAGTCGCCTGCGCTTGGCTGTCTTCTTCTCGGCACCCACGTTACTCGAGCGGTGTCTTTCTTTAATGGTTTAAGAGAATAGCTGCATCCTTATACCGTGTCGTCGTCCTTGTCGGGCACGTTGGTGGCGCGATCCTTCCGTCTCGTTCGCCGTAGGTAAATGTTCAATAGCCCATTCCACGCGTAACTGAACAGCAAACGTTTCAATCGAACTTTCACAGAAGAGACGGCTATGGATCTCCGGCGATGTTTTATTGTTTCTGAGTCAAATCCAGTGGCGAACGCATTGGCTAACAAATCCTTTCAACAATCAGGGCCACTATCGTGTTACTAATTATAATTAGGGGATTTTCTGAAGAATTATTGGTATATGAGTTCCGCACACTGTTTCTTACTGATAATTCGCTAGACTCCCTTTCCTTTCATCAACTCACTGTGTCTAAATGGGTTATAATAATCCTAAATCCTTTAAGGCAATTTTTTCATCTTGTTATGGATGATCTATCATCAGGTAAAAAAGTTGGTTTTGTTTCAGTAACTTCTTGTATTAGTTTCTCATACCTATAGCCCCTCCTTCCCCTATTTTTCCCAGACAGCTCCCCATAAATAGTAATGATTTTTAATTAAATAAGAAATAATACAATTATAAAAGAGAGAAAATAGTAGGGTTGTAGACTTTTATTAATTACAAAAACTCAACCGATGTTTTTTTTCCTATATATATGAGGCTTCATCAGGGTCAGGGTAGGTTTTCGTGAAATGACATATCCACAAAAGATACATAATACAATTACAAACAGCAACTACAGATTACAATTTTTTTCGGCATATTGATTTATAGAGATTTTTATCCAACTTTTGTGGGGTATCCAAGCTTGTCATCCCTGTGGTCCATATTCCTATATTTTCAAGTTCTACAGCTTTCGAAATAGGAACTGCTCCATAACGACCGTACCCTCTGATGTAATCTTGACAACTATAAAAATTGCAAAACGTTTGCGTCCGCTTAGGCTAACTGTACACCTAAATTACTTGGAGACTTCTATACTCGATTAAGCGACGAACCCTGTTCCTTTAATTGTATAGCGCAGTAAAAACTGTAACTACATATAATGTCAGATAGTAAACCCATTTGATTACAGAAATGTAAAACAAACGGACAAGTGTTTTCAATTAAGAATCTGATTTACTGTATCTTTTACCTATAATTTTCGGGGAAAATAGGTAGATACCTGATGTACAGTACCTTACAGTAAACAATGTCCTTGAAAAGTAGCAACTACTTATTATAACTCAATTTTTGTGTCTTTTAATTAGTAATTGTTTATTGTGGTAAGAGAAATTATTTTGGCATTATAACTTTTCTTAAAATTTCCCGACAATTAACATTAGAAACCTACAATAGCAGCAGCTTCTTAATAATTTTGTTTGTTAGATTACAGGAACTTTCAATCTTTGGTAATCAGCAGCTGATTAGGTGCCCTCTATGGTGTATATTAGCTAATCATTTGGCAAACATTTGGTAATTAAAAGCACACAAAACTTTGCCATTGAACACCATATACAACTCGCGATTACCCGTCTACTCGTATTATTATGTAAAAAGCACATTCACGCATCTAAATTTGAAAAAAAGTACTCACAATGATATATTCGAACAATATTTACTTACATATAATGGCGTGTTAGTTATTCTAAGAAATGGTGAGACGAATAAGTGAAAAAAAGCGTGTCGAATAGTGTGTGTGTACAGAGCCAAGCCCCGGCACATAGTAAATTCTTGAAGTGCGTCACAATTTGTCAAACAGAAGTGTTGGTTTTCATATCTCAGTTTCCAGAAAACCAAACTTGTCTTAGATGAAAACGATTAGGATGCAAAGGTTGCCGCCGCGCTCTGTCCTAAACACTGCAAATAATACGATACATAAATGATAACAGACGCCCCAGTTGGTAGGTATAGGTATTTATGATCCCCACATAATTCTTTCTACTGATGGTATCCACGATTTGTTGAACTGAACGGGGACAATGTCAAAGAAGACAAAGATCTGTAGGTATTAATGTATTATGTAATTAAATTGGTTCATTCGATTGTGCACGAAATAAAAAAGGAAGAAAGTACGAAATATCAATATATTTACGGTAGCATTTTTGGTGACCTATTGGTGAAATAATAAAATGATCCCCGAAGGTTTTATATTTAATTTCGACTTACGAAAACATGTACCTATACATACTGATTGAAGTGAATTATTAATTAATGAAAACCCCCCAGTCTTTTGATTTGTTGTTTATATTAAAATGTCAATATTGAGTCATCGTAAGGTTATAGATAGGGTGTGATGGTGGTTGGGTTAAGTGTTCGCTGAAGGATCATGGCTTGCTTAAGTACCACGTCCCATGGGCTTAGGTTTGGTATGGTGATAGGATTTCCTGATTGGCTTTGTAAAGTATTATACTGTACATGAAAGGTTTAAGTCAGGTTATGACGGAAAAGGTTTCCCTGATTGACATGTGTGAAGGGCTATGCACCATGGGCTTAACGTATGAGTTGTGCTGAGGGAGATTCCGTGATTGATTTGTGTGAAGTGCTATCCATCCATCAGAAGGTTAGTTAGGTGGTGTTTAAATAATAATTGAATTATAGTCGAAATCCTTTTCTGCTTGACATGTATGTCGTAGATTTAGGTTATGCTATGGTGAGGTAGTAAAGTATGTTATGTGCACCAAGGGTTTAGGCTAGGTTATGATGGGAAAGGTTTCCCTAATCGGCGTACGTAAAGTGATATAGGTACATCAAGAGGTATGTGTTTATTTTTGGTAAATAAATGCCGTTTTTGAGCTTCATATATTGACCCATCAGTTTACATAGCTTCCCGTCACTTTAAATTCTATCGAGGATATGTTACCTCTGTATCACATAAATAATGTTAATGAAAATTCAATGAAAGGCTAGTTAGAGAAATATTAGAAGCAGAAACAGGAGTCAAGAAGAGTAGATGTAGACCTAGATTAGATTACTGTTCACAAATAGTTCAGGATGTGGGATGTTCTAGTTTTGGGGAAATGCGAAAATTAGCTCAGGATAGCAAACAGTGGAGGTGCGTGTGTCCAACCAGTCTTATATGAATGACCACTTTTGATAATGATGATGAAAATTCAATTCGTGAATTTCGTTTGCCTGCTCCAAATTTCCACCTGATAATGTCTTGGGGAGAGTCCCAAATCAGCGTAATTACTAAATACTTCGGCTATGAACAAACGGTATAACAACAAACTTTAGTGGTTCAAATTAATTTTTAAATAGGTAATGCAACTTAGTATTTTTTACTGATGAAACTGAACAACCAAGTAAATTCGGTGGACTGGAGTTAAAATGACCAATGTCATTATCTTGCTTCTTTGAGTAAACCATTGCAACCGATTCCTTTTCTTATCCTTTTTCATATGCTAAAACTTCCAATATCAAATTGAAGCAGTTGTCAAGATCCATAAATGACAATGGCAAATCTTTGTAAATTCAGTCGCATATGCTTAAGTTAAGGGGCCAAAGTTTGCAAAATTTTTGAATTTTTTGAATACAAGTATCACGTTCTATAACCTGTATATATATATATATGTACTCTAATTACTAATATGATATTTCTTTCGGAATCTCGGAGTTATTAAACACCAAGTATGATAGATATTAGACTAGAACAGCTTTTGATGCTAGTTTAATGTATACAATTTTAACTTTTCTTTTATTTTTAAATCGCCTGTCCGATACAAATAAATAAGTGTTTAAGTTCAGTGCAATTGAGCACCGGCACCGTCTTGTCACGACGTACAGGCACTCCCGGACCCACGCGTTTTCCATGAATCATCGTCCTGTTTGACTCACCCAGTCATAGCGACATTGATGTGCGATATTTCCGTGTTTATGGTAAACGGATGTACGAACTTTGGAATATCTGAGCTTTCTAAATTTTGCGGTTTTTAACTCTCATCAGACACTTACGATCTGTATGATACAAGAATCGTCCGTCCCGTCACAGCATCAGTAAATACAGGTAGCACTTTCCAACACCGACGAGATGAAACATTTAAGAGGAACTTTAAAACAAACGAAATGAGGCAGTTGTTACATAGTGTTGGAAATTAACGATGATCTCACGAGGATCTTCATCTGCTTAGTAGGCCACGACTTCATTTGTTACCTATTGACCTTTTAACTTTAATTTAGTTAGTTACAACGGGAATAAGAACCCACTTCACAGAAGTCGGAGTCGCATCATTTAAGAAGCATGCGAATAGATACTTTTATTCTTTTCAAGGAGGGTCATACATGAAATTCTAATTAATGATTTGGGAGCCTTCTCAGAGTATCTCATAACAGCTGATTAGCTCTTCTTTAATTTGTCAGAGACACATTAGAGGCAGAAGCAGGAGTTAGGAGGGGTAGAGGGAGGCTTAGGTTAGATTACTGTTCGCAAATAGTTGAGG